TAAACTAAACTAAACTAAACTACTTCAGATTAAAGACACTCCAGAACAATGTAACAGTGTATGGAGAAAAACAATTTGCCTTTTAGTAGTGATCTCAACCCATTAAGCCGATGGAAAGGCCCCACTGGATCCAGCTTGTTGCATTATTGTGCCAGTAGTGTAGAGTAGAAAGGAGAACTATCCAGAATATGTATGCCAATTCACTTTCTTACTGGAAGTACAGATGGTCCTCATGTAGCAACCACAATTGGGACTGGCAACTTGATCATTAAACAAAGTTGCTTTAAGCATTCGCTGGCTGGGGAATTCTGGGAATTGAAGTCCAGTCATCTTCAAGTTGCCAAGGTTGAGAAACACTGACTTAAGGTCTTACTTTAGCATTTATTTGGCTTTGTGGATCTGTGAAGCTCCTAAATGTGAAGATTGGTAGTAAAGTTACTTTTTCATCACCATCTTAATTGCTGACAGTCACTGTGCAAGGCAGTTGCTAGCGGAGAACTTACCTTTTTGGTCTGCATGAATTGGTATTTACATGAGGATGATGGAATGCATGCGGATTTCTAAGCATTTGAAATGTGCATTTTAAACATTGGTGTCTTTAATTATTGTTTCTCAGGTTTGACATTCAGTTTGTTCTCTCAGAGCCAAAGAAAAACTGGGCAGGCAAACAAGGAAAAATCTCCCTCTCTCTGCTTTATGAATTTGTGAAAAAGAGTAAACCTGAGTCTAAAATACTTATATGCATTTGTGGTCCATTTCCATTTATGGAACAAGGAATACAGTAAGTGAAATGCGAACAGGAGATAAATACTGTTCAACTGAATCTTTTGTACATTGCATATTTTAAAAAACTGAAACATTCACCCTCACACTTTATGTGAAATGTTTTTCATAAGTAGGGAAGAGTACATTAAATACATGGACAAATGTATATCACAGTTTGCTTTACTGCTGTTTGAATCATTGTGGATTCAATTGCATTTTGTGGATATTTTAACTCAGGTTATGTAAGTATGTAACCTCCATAACAGAGTATATATGAACATATGATTTTTGTTAATTGCTGTTGCTTAAGCCATGGCTCATTGGACAAGCCATCTTTTGCCACATAAAGCCTTTAGTTTGGCCAGATTGATCTATATTTACATTTATCAGTATGAATCAGTAATTAAGGCTAATATTCAAAGGATCTATTTGGAAGCAATTTTCAATAACCTTTGCACCACTAAATGAATACATGACTGTGTTTTAAAAAGAACTACATTTATAGTTCCTATTGAACTTTGATTTAGTTTTCAATTGTGAAACAGGTCAAATAAAAACTTTAAACAAAATTAATATAGTAAATTTGACAAATGAACTTTCTCTTCTTCATTCCATACCTTAAGAATTGGCATGCCTGCCAGAGTAGACTTTTAATAAACTTACAGCTTATGAGGAAATTAAAACAGACTTCTACATTACTTTCTCCACACAAACTATATTGGGGCTAATTTTCCTTTAATACATTTTGTTTCAGGTTTTTGCAAACTCTTGGACACTCGGGTAATGAAGTACATTGTTTTACCAAATAACAAAAAGAGAACATTGGAACTCCTGTACATATATTTTCATCATCATATTTATTACTTTCATTCGAAGTTCGGCAAGAAAATATTATGCATGAATAATGTTCATTTTAATATAAGTACTTGAATTCTGTATTTTCGGTCAAGAAATAATTTTATATTCTGCTTATTTGTAATGATATTTATCTTTGCTACAATGTGAACTGAAATATTTTAGATAAATTAGCTCATTTTATATGCATTGAGCAAAATGGATTCTAACCTCCATTGAATAAGGTTTAGTAGCATTTGCACTGATAAGCACCAGATACCTTTTCTCTTAAGTTATAATTTTGTTACTGTAAAACACCTTACTGGCAATATATCAGAAGAGTACATATAAAGTGGTTAACTCAGGAAAAAGATTGGTTACAATATAATCCTATTAATATGAAGCTCTAGTGTTAGAAATGTTAGCTTTCTGTTCTTACTCACGATATATAAATTTTATATAATGAATTACTTTTTGTATAAGACTAATAAAGCAAGGAAGTGTTACATTAAAAAGAAATATTTGTATTATTTCAGTCTTCTGTATTGACTTTAGGAGATTAAGAACTGTTTGACATCCCATATTCTGTTGTAAATGTGTTTTTTTTTCCCCCGTTGTAAATGTGTTTTTATTTTCCATTTCATTTTCGTAC